TTCGTTCGATCGATTCTTTCGTTCGATCGATTCTTTCGTTCGATCGATTCTTTCGTTCGTTTTGTCTTTTTATTCTTTCGATAATTCTCATTTCTTTTCTTCCATTCATTTTCCTACTTTTCTTTTCCCATGACAACTTAACGAGTTCTTTCACTCGCACAGGTTCTGCTTGATCGTTACAAAAAATGTAACACCTAATTCAGTAATAGATAGATAGATAAACTTTATTTAACCACGCTAGCATAAACACCAAAGCTGATTTCCAATACGGGCGTGCATATAAAAATCATAATTATGGCCCCGTCCACACGTATCCGGAAAGTTTTGTATTCGGAATTTTTTTTTTGCGGATACGGGTTGCGTCCACACGTGTCCGGAAATTTTTGTATCCGTATCCGGAAATTTTCGAAAACGGTCTCCAGAGTGGAAATTTTCGAATACGCTCCGAATACGGATACGTGTGGACGGTCGTATCCGCAAATTTTCAAATACGCTGACGTAAACACGATTTTGCGCATGCTCAATAAGAAAAACTATCCGTCAAAGGAACTAGGCACTAGCGTGCATCAGGGCGGATCTAGTAATTTCTGGATACGTGTGGAAAGTGAAAACGATTCGAAAACGATTGGAATACGCTGCGTGTGGACGCGAACATTTTCGTATCCGAAAAAAAAAAAAAAAATTGCGGATACAAAAATTTGCGGATTCGTGTGGACGGGGCCTATGATTTGAGGAGTTTTTTCATTGACACATCTCATTTAACCAAAGTAATTTATTACAATATGTTTACGGTAACCACCATATTACTAATACGCGCACGGTGTCTGTTCCAGTAATACTTAAAATTCAGACTATTGCGAGGCTTTAGTATGGTATAATACTGTACGTATGGTACTTCATGTGTGGTACGAGGACCTCGATCACCAAATGCATTTATTGGTAGGAATAAAATAATGTACAACATACGACGTTCCTACCTTTCTTCAATAGGAAGAAAATTTTGGTAAAAATGCTATCCAGTTCACTACTCGACAACGTTAAAATAGAATCTTCAACACTACATCTACTGATCATTTTGGGGTTGATCATCGAATGCACTTTGAAACATCGTATTCCGGAGAGCCTCAATGTCGTAGAAATTGAATATCTCGAACGTGGTTTATTTTAAAGTCAAGATATCATATTGTCATATTGTGGTCAAACATCCAAGCTTCCACATTTTCTTTTGTTTGATGCATCTTTGGTTTGCACTAAAACAGACGGACAATATAATCAAATCGCATTCTGCTTAGCGTGTAAAGAATGAGTTTAAAATTCAAGTTGTGATGAGTCTATTAGCCCTGCGCGTCAGCGAGGTTTTGTGTATCATTTACTGTGCTTGAAGGTTAGAATTTATGTGATGATGGCAGGTATGAGATAAGAAGGTGTTGTGAACACTAATAAGCGCTATTAATTACTAATAATAATGCAGCACTTTGATTTGCCGTTTACTAAAATATATATAACCTTCTTTCTGTTTCTGTTTGTTTTCGCTTTTATTCGTGCTAACGCCTTACAATAATTCTAAATAATAAATCTTCTGTCGACTACTAACTTGTTTGTGTTTATTGGAACAGAAATCGCGAACAAGATGTTGGCGGATCGTGTCACTGATAAGGAGAGCTCTGATGAAGGCGTTAGTTCAAAAGCAGACACCGAAGAAAGCGAGACAGCTGGAAGTGCACCAGTATTGTATGTATGGTCATTCCTTTATTAGTAATATAATATATAATATATAATTAGCAATTATTCGCCGAAGGCGAAGTGAATATCGGGGAAGAGAGAGTTTTAGATTTACGTTCACGGCAAACGTCAAACGTCAGTTGACCAGTAAAAAATTCTTTTAAATTACTGAAAAAGAATCGCAAAAAAGTCCAAGTAGTAGAAAAACAAAAGAGTATTTGCGCTTGGTCAGAAGGTTTGTAAAAGGTAAAGTAAAATACAGGAAAACTATGAAAACGTGGTCACGTTTGCCGCTTGCGGGGAGAAAAAAAAGTCAATCTAAAACTCTCTAATACTTACCGAGACGCGAGTCTTTGAGCAGCGAGGTCTAAATAATACGACTCGACGCAGTTTTTTCCTCAACCTCAGAATAGCTAATAGCACGTGTGGAATCCTACAATTTGTCTCCACGACAAGATATGGTTGTGATGAATTCAAATCAAAGTGTTTCCATGAAGTCGTTGGTAAACACAAAGTTTTCAAAGGCACGTTCCTATAAAATGTCATGAGAACGCTTCGATTGACGTACTGCAAACCGTGTGCTATTGCGAAGCACTGTATTCACATTTTTTCTTTATCTTTTAAAAAAAATTATTGATTCATTTTAGTGTTCATAACGCGCCAAGAGAATTTACGATCGGCCAACCAATCACCTTCACCATACCGGCTGAGAAAAGCCAAGAACCAGCCCAAGGTGAAAAGACCCTGGACTCGACCACGGGCCTGTTGCGTGAAGGCCGAAAGGATGAGGATGATGGTTATGCTCACGTGGAGGACATACAGGCAGCGAAACATACAGCCAGGATGGAGGAATCTAGACCGAGGTATATTTAATTCTATCGTCCTTGTTTTACAAGGGGAAGGACTAGGGAGAGGATACCTAATGGTTAGCAAACCTGTGGCCCTCGTTCAATCATCGAATTGCAATTTAGTCAGGGGCGGCGGAAGCTGAAAATCTTTGCCCCCCTCCACCAAACATTTCGTGGGGGGCACGTCCCCCCGGTTCCGCCGCCCCTGTTATGGATTTTTTGCGGAAGGAGGAAAACTGGAGAACCAGGAGAAAAACCCTCGAAGCACAGGAGAGAACAAACTAGCACTCTACTCAGATATGATGGCGATTCTGGGGATCAAGGTTATGATGTTAATCTGGGGGTCAAAAAAAAATTAAAAAAGTGCATAAAAGAGTTTGGTTTTGAAATTTGAGAAGAAAAGTCTTTTGAATTCTTTCTTTTTTTCCGATGGCTTCCGCTTAGGTTGTCGAAACGTCAGTCACCACCAACAACAGTCTTTCTCAAGACTACACTCGCCTGGACGATCAAATTTCACAACAAATTTCAAACCATTTACTCTTAAAATTCTTTTATTTTGAGCCCCAGATCTAGAAATAGAATACGGTAAAAGCGAGGGGTCTTTCCCATGACAATGATTTGGAATTCTTTTTTTAGTATGATTCCGTCCATACGCTGCGATCTCATATTCGTGTTTTCATATTGCAGCCCGATAGTCCTATCTAAAGATATTCACAATCAGCCATCGATGGTGGCAGTTTTATCGTCTGAACCCGATCAAGGTGCCCCTCCTGTTGAAGCTCATGCTATCGATGGGATTCTATCAGAGATGGCAGACATGGAGTAAGTGGAATGCATTTTCTTTCTTTGTTTGTTCGTCCGTCTGTCCATCTGAGTTTACTCTAGTCTCCTTAGACGTTTTCTGAGTTCGATAAACAGGATGCATTTGGGTCTAGCTTCGGTACAAACATTATCATATAAGGAATGATGAACAAAAAGTGTTTGTACCGAAGCTACACGACGATGCACCACGTGCGCTATCTCAGAAAAGCTTTTTTGCAGCCGTGCTTAGTGTCGGTCCTAAACTTCATCCCCCAAGAACGGATGCAAAAGGGACAAAGTTCACTCACTACCTATTACATTTAATTTTCTAAGCACACAACTCAACTCACATAAATGTTGATTTTGCGGAGGGAGAAAAAACTTCAGCAGGAATCGAACCCGCCACCCGACCTGTAGGACTCACAGTAGTGAAGGCGGCGGGCAAACCTTTTAACTGAAAAACAAATTTCATTAGAAGTTATTGTTATTTTTAAACGTTTTAGTACTACCTCCCATCTGGCAAACATTGAGAAACCTCAAAATCACCGCTCCGGCAGTGATTATCGTCTCATAATTACTGGTCGCTCGACCAATAACAGCGCGCGAAACTCTATATTCAAGTCTAAAATGATACTAGATAGAAACATACATGGATGGTTAATAAATAATCAATAAAGCGCAGTCACACAACCTATTGTTGAAGTGGTTGGCACACGTGAACATCATCATAGCAATGTTTATATCCGTCCACCTATACACCTAAGTCCAAAATGGCGCACGGCCGGGTCAAAACGTGGTATTTTTACAGTAATTTCTTATGATTTGATGCCGCAAAATTGTTGCGCTCCGAAATGAAAGAAATACAGAAAGAGTGAGCAAGTGTATACTTTGCATTGACACAATATTATTTGATTTGCATTTGGCCCTAGATGCGCCATTTTAGACTAAGCGTATTAATTTTTCAGGCTTGAGATGCCAAGAGGGGACGATATTCCAGGTGATAACACAGGTAGACCAGCCACTCCTCAAACTCCTTCATCATCTGTGTCTGGACCCTTCGATAACACCCCAAGGAAAAAGAGATCCCCATATCACTCAGATAAGGGATATGGATCAACGTATAGCCTGTCTTCTGAGGACTCGTCTAATGGTATGGACCATGGCATGTCATACATTACAAAATATTTGAAATATCCCCCCCCCCCCCTGATTGGCTGGTAGCTTTTGTTGTTTTTGTTAATGTTGCTTTTGTTGCTGCTGCTGTTGTTATTGCGGCTGCTGCTGCTGCTGTCTTTGTTGTTGCTTTTGTTATTACTGTTGTTATTGCTGCTGTTGTTGCTGCTGGTGCTGCTGTTGTCGTTGTTGTTGTTACTGCTGTCGTTGCTGCTGTTGTTGCTGCTCTTGATGTTGTTGTTGTTGTTGCTGTCTTTGCTGATATTGTTGCGATGCTGTTTTTCATGACGACATTAAACTGCCTTGTGTTGGTGGCATGTAAATTGGGTGACATGTAAATTGGGTGACATGTAAATTGGGTGACATGCACTACTACGGCACTCTCTCTCTAACTGCTTTCTAGATCGATACCCGTCTGAGCAAAATATGTGGTTGTAGTTTGCTGGATGCATTTTTCTCTCCCTTGCCAAGAGATGTTTTCTCCGGGTCCCGTTTTTCCTCCCTCCGTAAAATAAAAATGTTACCTGAGTGTAGTGGTATTTGTGGAGCGAACATCGCGAGGAAGCCCCTTGCGGGGAGTGATGGTTGTAAGATATTACAAGTTTTTTGTACATGCCACTTATAACAGCGGCAACATCGTCCTATAGTGACAACGAAAAGCTCAAAAGTTTGAACGTTTTTTTTTAAGTTTAACATTTTGAAAACTGCACGCATGTCTAAAAGGCATAAAATGACTCAACAAATTCTCAAATTATTTCTCCAGCACGAGGAAAAAATGCAGTGGATAGCTTTAGTTACCGAAGCATTCTTCCTACTGTTTATACTTTGTTTTACGTCACTGAATTTGCTTGTAAAGCCAACTAAATGTTGACAAACACACGATTGCTTGTTTTTTGGATTACAGAGGTGTTTATGGACAGCCCGCCCGCTCATGGAGTCAAGTTTGATAAAGATAACTCACAGTTTTGGTACAAACCAAATATATCCAGAGAACAAGGTATTTAATATTACCTACGACTAGTTTAAAAACAGTCTTTAAAATCAGTCTCTAAGCAAACTGACTTAAGTTAATCTCAAATCTGCCATCTTGTGTTTATTTTACTCTACACCATTGCTTTAACATCGCTTACTATTCAATTTTTGTAAACGTGAAATTCAGGGTAAACCTTCCAGATAATTTGAACTTTAAGTTGATAAAGTTTAAAGAAACCGCTTGCAGATTTAATGAATAGTAATGTCTGTTACTGGCTAGACGAAACATGGTTTTCCTTTTTTAACTTAAAAAAAAGATTATTACAAATATTATCTGTTCGGCTTTTTCTCATTATATAGTGTTTAGAATTAATACTTTTGACTTTCTGATTCGTTGTATACAATGAAATTAAAGTCGGTTGGTCAAAAATTGGCAAAATGTTAAAAATATTAATATATTAAGGTATTTGACACCAACATCCCACTCTACAAAATGATGTTGTCAACAACATCATCAAACAAGCTTTCACGAAAGCAACGAAAACAGCCCAGATACTGAGTACTGCAGAAATTGAATTCAGAGCTAAATTCCAAGAAAAATTGGGGAAAATTGGCTGAAATTGGCTTGAGATGTGAAATGTTTGTTTGCAATGAAAAGACTTTAGATACGGGCACCCTGTGTGCTGAGTGTGTGATGTGATTTCGTGCTATTTGTTTAATTTGTTAACCGCTGACCGTATTGAAGTATGAGCGCTTTCTATTGTTATTTATTCATAACTTGTATTAATATTTGTATTTTAGCTATTAATATACTAAGGGATAAAGAGCCAGGATACTTTGTTGTACGAGACAGTCAGTCGTTTCCTGGTGCTTATGGTTTAGCGGTTAAAGTGGCGGTTCCTCCACCTCACGTGCTTCAAGGAGATCTGAGTAAGTTGTGACTCTGCATGAACCATTCTATTGCGGTGGGCTATTTTATTCCTTTAGACCTTGTGGTAAAAGGAGGGGTTTTGTTGTGTTACCAACTGAAAAGACTACCAAAGTGAATGGACTATTTCGACGATACGACGGCCGTCTTGCCAGGAGGCAAAACAAAACAAAACAAAAAAAAAGATGACGGAAAGTGATTAGCGTTTCGTGTTTTTGTCTTTCTTTTATGGTTTCAAAAGTAATAAGGCAAATATCTGTAGAGTTACAAGCACTTAATCTTATAACCAAACAAGTTTGGATATGCAAATTGAAAATCAAGGGTGGTGTAGCAATAATACACTTACCTTTCACCTCTGTGGTCTTGGGTTCGATTCCTGGACTCATGATCACATGCGATTAGAGTTTGTTAGGTCTCTCCCTTGATTTACGAGTTTTTTCTTCGGGTTCTCCAGTTTTCCTCTCTCCGTAAAACGTAACGAGCTAAATGCCAATTGCATCTGTGAGTTAGCCGTGCCCTGACGTTAGTCAGCCCTGATGTTGTTTCAGGGTATCGATAAATTGTGAAGCTCATTGAGGGAAATCTTTTTTGTGATGTTCTTTCAGCTAAAGTTGATTTATCAAGCGAACTGATTCGACACTTTTTGATCGAATCCACCAAGAAAGGAGTAAAACTCAAAGGAATCACGAATGAACCAGTATTCGGTGAGTAATCTACGAACTACATTCCTACTCAGCCTTCTTAATAGTATATATTGGATGCTAGGCTAACATGAAAACACAAAAGAAATCACACTTTTTCTCGATGGATTTGTTGCATTACTTTTGTATTTCCAGCTTAGCTTTACATGCAAGACAATTTTAAAAAGAGTCCATTACGCTGTGGTAATAAGGCCAACAAAATCGCGCAATTTGTGTGCAACATTTATGCGTTGTCATTGCGTTGCAAGTTGCACAGCAAATATTGCTCGTATATCTGCTCCGCGCGCATTAAATTTGCATTGTTGTAAAAGAGCTATTTTTATGCAATTTTGTTTCACGTGGCAAGTAAAATCACTCTAGTCACGTGTCTCAAAGTAGACGATAGTCAAGAGAATGACACGTGGTCTAAAATGGAATTTTTTTTCTATTTCGCTAATTATTTAAGGGCCAATTTAAAGGCCATATTTTTAACGTGGCCGCCTCTAAATGACGGGGGGGACCGACGTCCCTAAATATTTGATTTGATTTTTTTGATTTTTTAAAAAAATATAGGGTTAGATTTTCCATACTTATTTTCCCTTATAATATCCTTTTTTCACTGTTGTCCTTTCAGGGAGTTTGTCAGCGTTTATTTTCCAGCATACGATCACTCCGCTGTCTCTACCAATCAGACTCGTCATACCCAGCGAAGGTAAACCACCATATATGCATATGTATATATGCCTGTTGTCCTCGACGCAGTAGCGTGCATACCATATATCCGTGAAAGACGCTGTAAGAAACTTGCACAAATTTGCACAAATTAGTAACCTCAGTAAACCGTAGACCTACAAAACTACTTTGCACTAATTTGTACAAATTTGTTTTATTAATTTAGTTAGTTTTTTAACGTATATAGAGTGAAGGCATTTAATCCGTGACAGAATAGATATAAGACTAATACACTTTAGTAGTCCCTAATTCCATTGTTTTCTTTTGTGTCTATTTGACTAGAGTGCAAACAATTAATCCGTGAAACACTAATTACTAAATAGTACAAAATAGTGCTAATTGAACAATAGAATACAATGGAATTTGCATGGACTTGTGCTTTTAGTGTCACTAAAGTTTCACGGATATATTGTTTACACTCTATTACACGTTGAGGAGTATTTTTTATTTCACGGGTTAAATGCCTTCACTCTACCATATATCAGTGAAAAACTTTGTAAGAAATTGCACAAATTTGCACAAATTAGTAAGTTCAGTAGATCTCAGTAGAGTGCAAACCGTATATTAGTTAAATAGCACAGAAACTAAATAGCACCAAACACATCTATTTCTATTGGTTTCAATAGTTTCATTGGTGCTATTTTGTACTAATTAGTTATTTACGGATTTATTGTATGCGCTCTACTGATTATAAGCAATTTTTCCAAGAACTAAAGCAAAGCAAAGCCAAGCTACTTCATTTAGAGAGCATGTGACTTGAGTGACTTTCACAACTGATAAACTTATGGCCCTCATTGTTGAACGTCTCTGCAATAAATGGGAGCGGTTGCAATATTCTCCCGAGCCAGGGCTCATTTAGGAAGTGCCCGAAGGTGCGCACTTTACTCCCTCAGACTATCAGTGCTCCTTATTACGGGTATTTAAAGCTAAAGCTACACAGAACAGAGAGAAGTTGAAACAGACATGAAGATCCTGAGGACTGAACCGTGGACCTCTAGCTCTGGAGGCTGTGCACTAACCAACTGAGCTACGCCTGCTCCTATGATCTGTGCCTGCTATTGGCCTCCCCCTATCCTATCCTATCCTATCCTATCCTATCCTATCCTATCCTATCCTATCCTATCCTATCCTATCCAATACGATACTGTAGCAACTGACCTTGAGGATTGAACCGTGGACCTCTAGCTCTGAAGGCTGTGCACTAACCAACTGAGCTACGCCTGCTCGAATGAGACCGCCATTTTACTTGGTTATCCGAGACATTGCGATTCTAACCATTTGCAAATATGTTTTAGAACAAAGGTGTTGCACCTTCTATTCAGATATTTTAAGACCCTGAGGCTTGACCACGAACCTGAGGCTACCGAGCGGCTATAACCGAGTTAATTAATGTATCACTAGATCAAACAAGCCATTGAAATCATCTTTCTTCCTGCTAGATCTTCTTCCAGGAACAGACCAGCCAGATGGAAGGGTGAGCTCGTCATCCAAGTCACCCACTACCGATAGTAAGTGATAGAATAGACGGACAGCTTAACCTTACTTATAATCCCCAGTATAATTATATTCTGCTACAACTTGAGATTAGGCGTTACTGAACGTCCTTGTATATAACCCGTACAAATCGCCTAAAGAACTGTGAGATAGCCACGCCCTGGCTTGGATCTGCCCAGAGGTCGTTTAAGGGTGTGATATGTGCGTTAGCCGTGCCCTGACTTTGATGAGCCCAGAGGTTGTTTCAGGGTTCGATAACATTTAGTATCCACTTATTCTTAAGGGATTAAAATGTGGTCTGGAAAATGAAAACAATTTCATTAATTCTTTTTAATGCAATCTTCGCAGCCATGAAACTGATGTTCGTTGGCGAGTGTAGTGTGGAGATGTTATCTGGAACATCAGCCATCCAGAAGACAGTAGAAAGTCTACTTGCTTATTCTGCCGAGCCGAAGTTTACTTCAGCTAGTTTTAGAGTCACGAGGGAGGGCATTACTATAACAGATAACGAAAGAAAGTAAGTGCGTAGTGATTATTATTAGCGGTGATAACCATTTCTATGGGAAACCATTTCAATGTTACACCATGTCGTACTGCTGTATATATGTGCTGTAAGTCAGTACCGTACGTTTCCCACTCATACGATAACCATTCCTATGGGA